AAAAAAAAAAAAAAAAAAGGAGTGCCCGGATATGTCACTCTATTGCTTCCCTTGTGGTTGGGAACATGCTCTCTGCTCCCTGAAAGGGCAAGTGTGGCTCATCGTCCTGCCTGTGAGGAAGTGCGAAAGGGACTTTGTGGTGAGTGATGAGTTGAGCATCGCTGTCTCTGGACTCTGGTTGCAACCAGGAAGTGGCCAGGGCCGTGCTGTGGAGTTAAGACAAGGGCAGCTCTGTGTGGTTGTGCATCACCAAAGCGGAACTGGTCCTCTGCTTCGTAGGCGTCTGCCTTACAGAGAATCAGCTGGCCCCCCATTCTTTTTTTTTTTTTTATAATTTTATTTATTTATTTATTTTTTCCCCCCAAACCTCCAGTAGACAGTTGTATGTCATAGCTGCACATCCTTCTAGTTGCTGTATGTGGGACGCAGCCTCAGCATGGCCGGAGAAGCAGTGCGTGGGTGTGTACCCGGTATCCGAACGCGGGCCGCCAGCAGCGGAGCACGAGCACTTAACCGCTAAGCCGCCACGGGCCGGCCCTGGCCCCCCATTCTTAATGTAAAACCAGGCAGTTTCCGTTGAGGTGCTGCGCCTCTCTGAGCCTCAGTGTATCTATCTCACGGTGGTTGTGAGAATTTCATGAAATAAAGTGTATAAAAGTAATACCTGCTGTGCAATAGGTAATCAATAATTGGTGGCTTTTTTTTTCTTAGTAGTGATAAATGCCCCCTGAGTGTCAAGGAGGAGACACAGTGGGATGGAGGAAGGGTACGAAAATCAGGACTCATTCGCTGTCCTTCAGGATTAAGGGGACAGTGCAGGCAACACGAGGAAATTCATAAACGCTGAAGGGCATTGTATTAAAATTTCCTTGGTTTTTAGACCAGCGTTCTTTTCAGCAGACCATACTTCTAAAAAGTGCAACGAAAGAATCACTTTCTATACCCAGGTCATTCCCATCCAGGTTACCACGTTTAAGCCAACAACTCTGCAAAGGTGTGTAGCCTCCTTTCATGGAGAGGGAGACAAGCTTGGGGAGGTTCAGTTATTGCTGAGGGACACCAGGTAGGTGGTACAGCCTGGATTCAAACCCAGGACTTGGTCTTGTGGCGTTCACCCTTTCCTACAGAAACCCCCACCATGGCACAGTGAGGCCCTTTGTGGAGCTGGACCATTGTTGGTGATCCTTTACCCCAAATCCCAGAATCCTGAGATTGCTCAGATCCTCTGACATAAAAATGTCATCTTGACATAAAAAAAATATGTTTTTATATATTATATATATTTTATATATTGTATATATATTTACATATAAATATGTTTGATTGTATATTTTTATTGGTACAAAGGTACTATATGACCATGTAAGACTTTTTAAAAAAGAAAAAAATGACCATGTTATCACTTGTATCTTACCTCCCATGCAAATTTGTGTCTGTATACTTCTTAAATAAAAAATCGGAATTTTCTAGATTATAACGTGCAGTTTCATACTGAGCATTCTCTTATGTCATTAAATATCTTTTACAATATGAGTTTTGATGTTGGGTCTTGATGCTGCCTAATTCCCCTATTGGTTTCATTTCAGATCATCACAGGGGAATTCTACCGGATCTATTACCTGAAGGAGAAGTCCCGGTCAACCATTCAGAATCCCTATGTGGCAGCCCTCTATAAGCAAGTGGGCTGCTTCCTCTTCGGCTGTGCCATCAGCCAGTCTTTCACAGACATTGCCAAAGTCTCCATAGGGCGCCTGCGTCCTCACTTCTTGAGCGTCTGCAACCCTGATTTCAGCCAGATCAACTGCTCTGAGGGCTACATCCAAAACTACAAATGCAGAGGTGACGACAGCAAGGTCCAGGAAGCCAGGTGAGATGCCACCTCCCGCGGTCGCAGTGTGCACCCTTTTGATGCAGGCAATTCAGTGAGCACTCACTGAGCACCTGCTAGGAGCCAGGCTCAGTGCTGGGCTCTGGTTTAGATGGGTGAGTACGGCAGAGCCCCCATTTTCAAGGAACTCACAGTCACATGATTGGGACAGATAGGTAAATAAACCATTATGACAGAGCTGCGGTAAGTCCGTTCATTCGTTCATTCATTCATTCATTCATTCTTCTGTTTATTCATGCATTCCTGGGTGCCTGCTAGGTTCCAGGCAATGTGTCCAAAGCACTACCAAGGACGCAAAAACGAACAAGATGGTGCTGCTCTCAAGGTCACAGTCTAGGGAGGAAGTCAGACAGACAAATGCGTATCAGGGATGCAAATATGGCCCTCACATGGCCCTCTCTTACTCTTGCAGGAAGTCTTTCTTCTCTGGCCACGCCTCCTTCTCCATGTACACGATGCTCTATTTGGTGGTAAGTACCTTCCCTCTGATTCCATTGGAGTCCAGCCCCAGCTTCAATCCCTTCTGTACATAGAGCCCTCAGAATGGTTAGGGACAGACTTCTCTGTGAAATGCTTGAAAAGGGGGTTAGCTAGGAAAATGAAGTTCTATTCTGAGCTCTGCCACTGCGTTAGTAGAAGTTGTTTTACTTTCCAGGCTTTTCCCATTTTTCAAATAAAAATAATATTTACCATGGCTGCTTGATAAGCATTGTGTACCCATTTTGAAATTATAAAGTGATAAAGACACTTGTATAATATGTTATGGTAATAGGCACTGTTTTCTGAAAACCCATTAACTCAGTTGATCCTTACAAGAACCTTATGTTATAAGTAATATTATCTCTGTTGTGGGAAAGGATTACTAAGTAAGGCTCAGAGAATTCAAGTGAACTGCCAAAATGTACATAGACACCAGAACTGTTGCTCAAATACAAGCCTTCTGATCAAAGTCCTTGCAATGTTCGCCATGCCAGTCCTCCTCCATACTCTACTGATGGAAGGGCTTGAAAAATCATCAGTATCTGACTAATGTAGAGTGATTTCGAGGTTTACAAAATACTTTTGCATCCATGAGTACACATGACCTCATAATAACACGGTGAGGTAGCAAATCCTTATCCCCATTGCTTGGATCCAGAGACCACGGCCCAGAGAGGTGAAACAGTGAGTTGGAGGTCCTTCAACAGGTGGACCATGGTCTGAATCGCCATGGTGGCCTTCCCGTGCCACGTCTGCTTTGACTTCCTGGAGAGGCGGAGACGGTGCAGGTGAAGCGCCCAGCTCCCCTCCAGCTGCCACACAGACAGCGGCTGGTCTGTTTCCCTTTGTCAGTTAACTGTGGTCTCCCTGCCTTTCCTCTCCCTGAATGAGGTCCCTGTGCCAAGGCACTTCCTGCTTTCGGCTGCTTTGATGGTGCTCAGAGCGAGAAGGCGCTGAGAGGTCAGACGTAGCTCAGAGGAGCATGAGCTGTTTGGAAAAAGAACATTTTGATTTTGACTTATTTAAAAAAAACATAATTAGGAATTGGAAAAAACAGAGAGGATTTTTTGTTTTGTTTTGTTTTTTACCCCAATCCTGTCCAAGTTTGGAGGCCTCTGGGCTTCCTGTTACCTAGGATGCAGAGCTAAAAGGTGGGCCCCAACCTGTAAAAATATTAAATGTGGATTTTATTTATTCATGAATAGCACTTCCCTCCGTTCTTCACTTCTTTGTTGTTGTTGTGGTTGTTTTTGCCTCCCTCCTAGACAGGATAATTTAGCAGAGATATTTAGTTTCCTGTTCCAGTTTTATATTTTGCCCAGGGCTGGAAGCACTTCTGTAGTTTGAGTGTTTTGTAAAGGTGCTTAGAGGAGTGAGTACGTGTCCATTTTTTTCATATTCCTTCATTTTCTTCCAAGGGGAAAATACTAGATAATTTTGAAACCAACACCGTGCCCTCTGTGTCCAGGCTCTGTTAAGTTCACACTATAACATTCGATTCTCACCATAACCCGCTGAGATGCATTGCGATTGCCCTGTTTTCAGTTTAAAACAAACAAACCTGAATCTGAGAAGTTAAGTAATAAAAGTTCTACATCCAGTCAGAGGCAGAAACCATATCTGAGGGCGGATCCTTATGACTCCAGCATCGTTGTGTTCTTTTCATTTTACTGCACGACAAAAACAAAAACAAACAAGCCTCTGCAGGATACACTTAAAGAAAGAAGCTCCTGACCCTAATTGCAATTTCCCCTGGAGGCAACCTGCCCTCCTTCAGATCTGCTTTAACAGGTGAGATGCCCCCCTTGCCCGCCCCCCATCGGCTGCTCACCGGCTCTGATTACAGCAAGAGCTCTCTAGAGGCTGATGTGTGAGGAGTGGACTGTGATTGAATGTTTGTTTGCATCTCTCTGAGGGAAGAAAAAATTATAGTGCCTTTATATTCCTAGAAGGAAGGAAAAGAAGGAGGGAGAGAGGAAAGGAAGAAAGAGGGAGAAAGAGAAGAGCCTCCTTAATCCTTCCTCTCCAAAGCATATTATTACACACTCACCCATGCACACACGCACCCACACACTCTTAGAAACCTTGCACACATACGTGCCTTCACCGTTCACACTCGCAGACACCCACATATGCAACATGGAAACACGGGGCTCTGTTTAGCTCTCAGGTTGTCTTGGCCCTAAAACAACCTCTGAAGTGAAGGGCCAAAAAGTAAGGAGGACCATGCGTTTTCCAGGGCTCATTTTTATGTGATATTACACAGAAATCTCAGCCCTTTGAATGTCTGACTTGCAAAGCTTTCTAAAGCAAGTTTGAAGAACACCGTTGCTGCCTGTCCTGGTGGGTGGGAAATCCTGCAGTCAGTCAGAGAAGCCCTTAGACCCATCCCCAGTGCTTTCCTGGTGGGCTTTAGGAGGTGCCAGATTTGGGCAGACGAGACTCTGGCTTCCCCCGGTGCAGGTGTGTTTTTGTTAATGCAGCCCAGGATCCACAGCTTCCCTGGAGGGTTGGGGAGAATCGCATTTGAACTGGCTGGGTGTAGGTTTGACAGCTTTGGTGTTTAGAGTCAGACAGACCTGGATGATTCTGGCCATGCCAATTACTAGCTATGGAGCCGGGAGTGGGTTACTTAGCTTTCAAGCCTCAGTGTACTCATCTGTAGAGTGGAGACAGTCTTGTCTATTTTGCAGAGTTATTGCCACTTTTCTTCTCTAGACCCCACTTTCCCCATGTGTCAAATGAAAGAGTGGAATTAGATGGTGTTTGTTTCTCTCTCAATCTCTGTGGTTCTATTTGAAAGAAGTTTGAACTACCCTAAGTGCTGACAGGGAAGATGGGAAGCCGTCAGGCACAGGCTGATGCCCACATTACCATGGAGTTCAAAGAGAGCAGCGGATCGGAAGCACCAGCCATGCCCACTCCAGGACCCTACACCCGCCATCCCTGCTCTAGCACCAGCTGCCATCTGGAGCCTCCATGGCTTTGAAGGGTACTCCATGTTAGGTTTTGATTTGTAAAATGATTAACTTAGAAAAACCATGCCCCAAACACCAAACTCCCTCTGGGCATGGAAGCTTAAGGATGCGGTTAAGTCTTGTTAGAGATTAATGCAAATTCTAATGAAAAAATCTCACAGCATATATAAGCATAAATGTTGCTTCCTACTCCTGAGCCCTGGCCTAAACCCCAGGGACCACATCTGGATTGGCCCTGCACCTCCATGGCCAGAGATTGAGGATGATTTGGCTGTCTGGATAAAATCCAGCACCAGGGCGGGCGCCAATTCATGTAGCGTACCTGGTGTCTCCTCTGTTGTGCCGGGTACTCTGCCACCTTGTGGGGCTACTGAGATGAATCAGGCCTGGGCTCTGCCCTCAAGGAGCTCAACATTCATTCAGCATTCAGCATTCAGCAAATATGTCGTGAGTGACTCTTATGCACCAAGCACCGTGCTAGGGGTGGGACTATAGGCATTAGTAAGGAATTGGTCACAGCCCTTGGGATGTTCAGTCCAGAGGAGCAAGTAGCCAATGAGAACAGTCTGGTACATTGTGCAGGAGAGGCATAGGGATGTGTAGGTCATTGTGGAAGCTCAGAATTGTGGCACCCAAGCTACCCTGGAGTGGAGGGTGGCAGGAGCCAGGGGAGGCTCCCAGCAGGGTTAGTCAGGCGCATTGAAAGTTGAGAAGACCGTTGGGCTCCTCAGCCCAGCTTCTCTGTTTGCAGCTCCAGTCAAGTGTCAAGGCCTTTCCCTCACTGCCGTGCTGCCCTCCCAGGAATCTGCCCCTTGCTACCCGCCTTTTTCAGGTCACTTTGTCAGAGAAGCCTTCCCTGGGCATGACCGCCGCCTCCTCTAATACTCCCTAACTCCCTTTGCAGCCTTCTTTTTGTGCAGGAGAGGCACGGGATGTGTAGGTCACATGACTGACTGAATGAATGAATGAATGAATGAATCCTAGGTCTTGTGGCACTCCCAGGCCACGCTCCTTTCCATGCCCGTCAGAATTTTGTTCATCTCCTCATCACTGACTTGATAGATCATGAAGGGCTTGTGTGGTGTAGGGAAGGACTTTGCTGCCTCTTGGCTGAACTGTTTACCTATTGACTCTTGACTGTGGTGCCCATGAGAACTGTTTATGTGTCAGAGGGTTAGTTGGGAACCAAGGAAACGGTAAAGTGGCTGTACTCTGACCACCACGTTCTGCAGTCTGTGGTTGTTAGTCATTGAGGTTTTATTCAACATGTTTAGAATCCTGGAGCAGTGGGGTCTGGTGTGCCCACGAGACATGCCCACAGATCCTGGGAGTGTCTGGTGAAACCTCTTGCAGGAGCAAGATTGTTGTTTCCGACGGGAATAAACCACTGTACCAGATGTTTTTCCTCTTCCTCTCTACGTCATCCATCCATTCAGCCAGCAGTTTCTGAGTACCTTTGTGAGCACCCAGAGACACCAAAACACCTCATATTTTGTGTGGAAATCTTGAAAAGTTAACAGTTGCAAACAGTTGCATATGTTCTCTGCCTCAAGTGAACTGAAGCGTCGGAGCACAGAGCAGAGCACCTCTGCGTGAGGTGCATTCAGTCAGTTCACAGCTCTCCTTAGCTTGAGATCAGCTCAGAGATCCTTCTACTCTAACTCTTACAAGAGCCATACCCTTGTATTTCAGACATTGGCGTTACAAGTATGCAGGTCAGTTAGAGGAGCCTGAAGTTCCAAATGTCCCACGCAGGTTGTCCGTTAGTCCATGACAGCTGTGAGGTCTCCTCAAATTGCTTCTTCTCTGCAAACACAGAAAAATCCAATACTTTGTGTGCAAGGTACTAAATCCCTAAGGAAGCCAGGTGGTTCTGTGGTTAGAGCATGGACTTAGGCAAATCATTTTTGTGTGTGTGTGTGTGCGAGGAAGATCAGCCCTGAGCTAACATCCATGCTAATCCTCCTCTTTTTTGCTGAGGAAGACCGGCTTTGAGCTAACATCTATTGCCA